GTTCCTTTGACCAAAAGTGTGCTGAACAGTTGTGTTATCTCTTCTGCCCAGGGCTATTCACCTTTCCTATATCCTCTTATCACCCCTTCACAATCACATTTCTATTTTCCTTGCTTATTTAAATGTTGTGTGGTGTCCCCTTATGAACGGCTTTCATGGGAACCCTCCACACTCCACACTGGCGTTCTCATCCCCATCACCCTTGTGCTCGGAATGTTGATCAGAGTCTGCCATATTGTTACGCAGTCCTTCCATAGGTCTTGTTAGAGTCTCCCTCTTGCCCCGTAGGGTTCGTGTGCTATCTCCCTGGTTCAAGTATTTCACTCGACCCCTGCCACTGAACCTTTGCTACTCGAGGCGTTATCACCCACCTGCGTCTGGGTGATTAACTAAAGTTTTCTGAATCAGTCTCATTGTCACGCCTTTGCTACATGGACTGCTGGTGTTAAACAGGCCTACTGTCAGCCAACTTGCTCCAGTCGCCGTCGCGACCATCCTATTGCTACACCTAATACCAAGTCTATGACTTGCTATGTCTTAGTCTCTTGTGGGCCAACCAACACGCGTGGTTCAACATTGAACCTAATCAAAGCAAGCAGTACTACAAGAGACTAGGGCATGGGAAGTCATAGACTTGGTATTGGGGCTAGAAACAGGATTGACGCGGCGGCGACTGGAACTAGTTGCCTGATAGTAGGCCTGTTTTACCCGAGACGTGGTCCATGTAGCAAAGGCTTGACCATGAGAATTACTCAGAGGCTTTAGCCTCGAATTAGTCACCCAGACGGAGGGGAGGGCAAATAACTCTTCGTAGAGCACAGGTAGGGTGGCAGGGGTCGAGTGAAATACTTGAACCAGGGCGATAGGACACGGATCCTACGGGACAAGAGGGAGACTCTGATAAGACATAGGGAAGTAGGACGGTGTAACAATATGGCAGACTGATCAACATACCCAGCCCAAGTGTGAGGGGGTGGGTGAGAGCACCAGCGTGGAGTGTGGAGGGTTCCCATGAGAGCCGTTCAAAAGGGCACACCACACTACATTTAAATAAGCAAGTAAAAGTTGTGATATTGAAGGCGTGAACGGGGATATAGGAAAGGTGAATAGCCCAGGACACGAGAGATACCACAACTGTTTAGCACACGTTTGGTCAAAGGATCGCCCTCATTTGCCTCTTTGACGAGTTGTTTTATTGTGCTAAGATTAGCAAGACTCACTAACAATGCCGGCGAAACGTCTAAGAATGTACCATGTCCACGGTCCGACTATGGAAATTATCATGCATACAATGGACTCAGGACTAGGTGGCCACGCCATCTTGGTCTTCATACCTTCCATTAAACTGGCTTAGGTTTTCCTTGATTGCGGGCATCCCGGATAAATTATACAAGGAAATATGAGGTTTAAAAGAGCATTTAGTAATATGGAGATTGTGAAAATAATGACCAAAATTTTCCATATATTCTTTCATTTCATCCGAATAGATAACTGCGACCAATAACACGATAATTGAATTTCAAAGGGATCAAGACACTACTTCACTACCTTGCCGGCGCAATTGTATTACTCGGAGGTTTACTGCATTGCATCCAGCAAATGTGAGCTAAATGAAAAATAAAACCCACTTTCGAATAAAGGAACATCAAGGACTGCGTAAACGTGATGCTTAAAGTTTCAAAATAGCAGGACGCATTTCACAGGACACATTTCACATTTCACTCTAAGGCAGCATAAAGACTGGCCGTATGTGTTTACAATGAAAGGAAGCTCGTTGTTATAGAGAGTTTCAATAAACCGAATAAAAAATCTAATAACCGGGTAACTGGAGCGAGGTAGAATTGGCGAAGAATTTTCCTACTGCATGGAAAATCTCGGGGGGCATCAGGAATAGGCAATGCTAGCAAATAGAGACGACCAAGCTATAATGGAATTTTATCATTATGGAAAGGGGTCGTAGAGAGGCTGCTCTCGAAGTAAAATTTGAAATTAAGAGAAGTCGTTTGCAGTATAAAGCTACAAAGTTTTAGGTATGGCACATTTGGTGATAACTTTGATCAAGAGATGTGACAACGGCCAGATGCAGTTGGCTCACAGTACGGAGGTTTGATGCCCAACTTGGTCCGTGAGGTTAGGGCTTGGCCACAAGATCTACTCAGTTTGCATTACTGAATTGAGACAAGTAAAAATATATCTTGAGCATCCAAGCTTTGAGATATGCTTGATTAGGCTACAGCATACGTGCTATTAAGCGTCTGAGGCAGATCATGGGACGAGCGCAAACATGGTGGCAGTGGCCGAGTTAAGTCTCTAAACCGCCTACTTGAATGCTTTAGCAGAGCGGTATTCCACAATTTTTATCTGTAAGGCCACTTGAGATAACATTTCCTTGATTGCTTCCTATATCCTATTGGTGACTGGCATACTATTATAATTATGATCATTCTTCATTCTTGCTTTAAATTATTGAAGCATAAATTGCCTTCAGAGTGTTCTCTTTTTTTATATCAGCTCATTAAATGGTAAACGAATATCCCATAATTCTATTTCAATGGAGCCTCTTCAGTTCCGTTCTTCAGTATGGCCATGGATAATCTATTTATTTTTTCAGAGTTGACGCACCATAGAATAATAAAGTGATCCTAGTTGCACTATATTCGTGCATGCTTTTGTCCCCTCTCAAACTTCCCTCGTTACCTCATCCTTATTACCATTGTCTTGCAAATTGATATTTGGCAAAAAGTTTCATCAGACTATGGCTCCCTTAATTTATTGTTATTTTGACTGAAAGTGTTTGGTCGATCTAAGCGGAAGACGATGGCAGATTCCTCTTGACCAGCTGTCGATTGGCTTTACTGTAGCATTCTATTTCCGAGGTGATCTCCTTCGATTTAGGTAAAAACATGCAAAGCTTTCGTCCGTCGTCGGACGGACATCATCACAGCAGGGTATCATCCTTACAACCATATTCAGGCTGAGTCATTTATTCGTTATATCATGATTTACGATTATATTCGTACTTACTCTTTCGTGGTTTCTGTTGACTTGAGAAAGCGCCTACTCAGGATCATCTCTTAAATCTTTTGCTCAGCATTATCATGCGAACTGGCCAGGTATTTTTCCAAAATGAGTGCAATATCACCATAGGCAGCACTAGGTATGATCACCTAAATCTGCCTGTAGATGTTGGCGAGAATGCGAAAACACGATTATACAATGAGCGAATACCTACCGTTGATCGATCTGTGGTTCAGGGCCGTATGAAATGAATGGATAGCTTGATTTCGCCTGTCAATCTTGTCTGCCATTTACCTCAAACTTGCACCCAATTCCAGGTCGTTATGATGCCTCTATCTCGCCCATTTTTCATTATTCCTTCCGGGGGAGTTCAAGCCTACAAGTTGTGGGTCAGAAAATGACTTCTTACGACTAGATCACTCCGGGCCTGGTGCCGGTGGGTTAGAGAGATAGCATGCTTTTTAAGACACGGCAAGTCCCTCTCATCTCAACTGACGCTTTTGACATCCAATAGAATTGGATTTTGCAAGAGGTTCCTTTGATGACTCGAACTTGCGATATTTGTTTGTCAGACAATGTAATTAGTTCGGCCTCCTCTGCCAGAATAGTCATGATGACGCAAAAAATGGATTTCGATCAAACTTTCGGACAGGCTGACTGGCAAGGATTTGCGGCATCTTGTCATACTGAGTTCCTGAGTTGATGTTCCAGACGATTAGTAGGGCTTATCTCAGCTGCTTTGTTGGGGCATCGTTACTTTGACATCTGCACTTACGATCGATTAGGTCCAATTGATACTAATCTGTTTTGTTTTATTTGACCTTAGCAATCGTATTTCTATTTCTAATGTGAACTGTATGTAGTCTAGTATAACTTTTTCACAGTCATTTTTACCTTTCAAATAAAGGCGAACTATGTTTTGGCAGCCCTAGAACTATGCATTCATTTGTATGGATTGTTTCAATTTTCACGCATATTTCGAGCCTCTTAAGCGTTATTCTCTGATGTCTCTTAGATTTGATGTTTGAAAAACTCTTAAGCTTCTTGTGTGCGTCTGCCCTTTGACTGTTATAAACTCTTGGAATAGTTGGTGCTCTCATTCTGCATTAACGCGTTCTATCTGCCTATGTTGGTAAGACGTATGACCTCTTCTTAGAAGCTCCCCTTAATGCTCGAAAATTCTTTAATTTATAATTTTAATGTAATTGGCAGGAGGCTTAAGGCCGAAATAAGTCTGCTCTAAGAATTGAAAAATAATTTTGTTCCTTAAGAGTGCCCAGGGAAATCTGAATCAGTTTTATGAATAAAATCAAGATTAGGTGAAGTAAGAGTTCCAGATTTCCTTTTAGATATATTAAAGTTCCCATTTGGAATATAGCCTGTGATCTGTCTATTTAGTCTGTTTGAAAGTTTAATTTATTTTTTTGGGGCCATCATTAGTGCTATGTTTTAGCTGCTTTAATTGAAAATATACGTAAACTAGAATTATTACCACACGTTTCCCCGGCATCGTCAATCAGTCTTGCCATTCTCAGCACCAAGCTATTACTCGTCAAAGAAATAAGTAAAGTCAATTCCTTGAGTAACTTTCTGTCAAAACGGTTTTGCTATCACTCCTTGTCGTTTTCTGGTCCCTCTGATTCAATTTTCTATCCTATTGCCTCGCCCTCGGTAAATGCGCCAAAAGGGCACATCTCTTGCGGAATATAAACATGTCAGAAGTAGTGATAGGACGGGGAAGAGACAAGATAATAGGAAATGGATAGAGGGACCAGGACAGAACGAGGAGTGATAGTACAATCGTTTTGACAGAAAGTCGGTCAAGGGATTGACTTCACTTGTCTCTGACGCGTTGTTATGTGGTGCTGAGAATGGCAAGACTCATTAACGATGCCGGCGAAACGTCTGCGAATGTACCAAGTCCACGGTCCGACTCTGGAAATTATCACGCGTACTATGGATCCAGGACAAGGTACCTTACTCTAGGTCTTCCTTCTAATATGGCCATGTTGCGAAAACGAGGTCAAATAACTTCTATACAACGAAAGGAGTCCGCGACCATAAAAGAGGCCTCACCATATTGGGCTTAATACCTTAGAATTATTATCTTTCATAGGTGCCAAAACTGGTTGGTCGCTGAATAAAAACACTCATGACATCCATATATATGTTCACATAGATCGGCTTTTTACATTTTGGATATAAGTAGTTAATTGGCTCCGTGGAAATTAGCTTGGCTTGATGATGTAGCTATAAAATGAGAATCCTAATAGCTCTGGTTTCTGGATCAGAGATTTGCCTTCAGATCCCTTCAAGTAAGACGAGAGCAACGGACTTACACGCGTTCTGCATGATAGACAGGCTTCTAATGATAAATTAATTTGAACTGTGTGACCTTGTTTTTAACTTCATGCATATTTTCCATGTCAAAGAGCCTCACTTTGACTAGCCAGATGCTGAGGTTGAGAAAAATCGGCCTCATATCAAAATCTTTTTGGGACTAATTTAATTTCAACAAGTCAAAGGGTATCACTTGGAGCAGAGTTATATTACATAATTTTCTCCTAGCCAGTGCTCCAGAGCTCAAGAGCGCTTATTTTAGAGCCATCTAACCGTTCGTCAACCTCGCTGCACACTCTTCAAAAGGCTTCCCGTACTTTACATTCTGATTCACAATTTTGCTTGCGATAACTACCTATTTGTGCCTAATTAAATGCTTTCTAGTAAGTTGATTCGATTTAGAATGAGATGAACGCACCTTTTTCTGAGTCCTCTCCCATGGTATTCATGATAATTTCTAGAATTTGACCATCAAATTGATGGATTTCCAGATGTTTCTCGGAGCAATATGACACAATGCAGAACCAGATACTTTCTTTGAGGTCTCCGATACCGTAGTTAAGCTGTGAAAACACATTCACATGTAATGTCTCACAATCGGTGTGCGACCTTGAGGGCTCATGTCGCTATTGCATGCCATACAGCCTCATTTATTCGTTTCCAAGATGCTTTCTTCACACGAGTTCGAATTTTGTCATTCCCCGAGTTACTGTGCCCTCTACATATGCTACTGAAATATTACAGCGTACCCGGCTAACAACTATTTGAACATTTTGATATAAGTTATTTAAGCTCAGATTCCACAATGACTCTAGAATGTTAACTGAAACCACTATTAACTAATATGAGATGTATTCACCCAATTTCGTTTAGTGATCAAGAACTGGTAGAAGAAAAATTTTCCCACAATCATATGAGTAGAGCTGACATTTCCATTGAATTTCACATAGCCTTGCTTTCCAAAAGTTGTTCTCATCCAGGGTTGACTGCAGTTTCGACCTCGTATCGGTCTTTTCAACACCCTCAGCCGGAGTCGAACCGCGACAGTGCAGGATGGAAGCTTGACAGACTAACCATTCGGATACAGTGCCACGAGAGCCTTTTGGGTCATAGGGCAAATTCGAAAAATACACTTAATTAATCCGAAATTAAGGTTTGAACATAAGTTCCCCATTAATACCTATTCCATCACATTTTGGGCATATATTTCTAGCTATTCCCCCAAAAACAAGCCAAAAAGGGAACGAGATCTGTTTAAACATGTTTGGCTTGCCATATTTAGCCCCTTTATTTCTCATGTTTTCCACCTCATACAATCAATCCTGACTTTGCCGTGCTTGGCTTAAACTCTTGTTAAAATCCAGCCTGTTATTACTCAAGTACCTTTCACACCAGGTATCAGATTACATGCAACTTTCAGCATTCAGACACATGTTTACTTCCTTCCTCGATTATCTCTACTTTCAGATAATATTTCGCTTTCAAGGGAATTTTTGCGACTAGTTTATTGATAGGTGAGACCGCCTCCTGACGCATGAGACGATATTATCTTACCTTCAATCACTTGCTTTAGCATCCATTTTTTCCCTCTTCAAGACGCTTCGCCATCTGGGAGGTGCCTCGGGAAGAGGAATTTGCGCCTCTGAAAAATGCCGCTTCACCAGCTGAAAAAGATTGTCCCACTAGTTGTCGCCGCGCCTTTCTGCGCTACACTACCCGCCTGGCGATTGCGGCTGGGGCTGTCTTGTCAGGCGTCGATGAGTCCTCTCTAGCCGGACCAGGCTTGCCAGTTACGGTTGTTGAAATATCTCCTGAAGTCAGCCACAGAGGAGAGGTTAGTGAGATTCGAACTTTGTTTACATCTATTCTCAAAGCATATCAACTATATTTGTAGTTAAATATTCTTGTTGAGCTTACTTCCATTTTGAGTGAAAGTGTTTGGTGCAGAGATTCGAAGGTCGATCCCATCAAAGGAAGTCGGATTTCTCTTAACCTGAAACGTTCTTGTTGAGGCCGTTTCCGAGGCAATCTCCTTTGATTTCGGTGAAAACGTGATAGTCTTTCATCCGTCGTATGATGGACATCATGAGAACGCTGCATCGTCCTTATAATCGTTTTCAAGCCAACGAGTCACTGGGTAAGCCAATGCGTTTTTTTGACTTATTAACTTGGATGTGGTTGTAAGGATAAGAACTTGCCATGATGAT